CACGCTTATAATCGATATAATCATTTTTTTCACGACGTAGATGACGTGAGCATTTAATAAAGAATTAATATCTTACGATCACAAGCGAATCTGTTAGGCTTTATCTATCGACATTGATAATAATATTAATTGACAATAAAAGATTTTCTTCTGATTAAAATACTAGCCAAAATGCATATGTGACCAGAAACAAAAAATAGGTCTACTGTCAAGAAACAAATAGACATATAAGCTAAATATACACAAGACATGATCAAAACTAATTAAAATATGTAGAGCCATTAAGTGTAAAGTAAAATTTTGAGTCAGAAAATTAATAATTTTTAGGAAAATATGAAAAATTAATTGAAAAGATTGTGTATAAGTTGAAAGAGTAAAATTTACTTACCTCTCAATGTCACACCTATTTATTTCTCCATTGTGTTGGTTATTTTAACGACATAAAATTATATAGAATATAGATTAAACTACGCAACATTAACCCACGGACAGTCGATGCACAATAAAATTTAATATTGGAGTTCTGTTTTTTCTTATAGTTCCAAATTAATTTCTGTTCAGAAAAATGCTATTTGTGCGTAATAATTAATAAATTAAAAGAAAAGGAAAAATACTTTAAAAATTAAAATAATTTATATTTATTCTAATTCGGCATACCTGAAATATAAAATAAATCGTTCAGAATTTGAAACATTCTTTACGAATATCGATCAATTAGAGGATAAGGGAAATGATCAATCGATCAATAAAAGACACGTGTGTTAAAAAAACATTTACATATTTATATATATAAAATATAATACAATTTGTTACAGTGTAGATGATAATGTAGCGTTTAGATGTTAATATCGAGTGTAAATCGGGTAGGTATAAATCTAAGAGCATTATGGAAGGATAGGGCGCTCGGTGTATGTATGTGTGTGTGTGTGTGTGTATATTATAAAGATATAAGACGCTGTTTTTTTCTTCAGCCACATCCCTATCCGAAGTAGGTATCGAGTGTGTAGTAAAGTGCCTATTGAGGTTCTCCGGACGTCGTTTAAAATCTAAAACTATATACAGGACACATTCTATATGTACACGCACACGCTATTTTCTCGCTCGATTTTCCTTAAATGCACTCTCGCTTGTGCATTTTATGTTCGCTCCGATCGCCGCACACACATTTTCGTCCTTATTTTAACAAAGAGCGCAAAATTCGAGCCAGCGACCGCTAATCCTCTACGTACAGTACATACATTTTCGATTTCCTGGCCTTCATCGCCTTCAGCCCTTTCTCCGATGACGTGTTGACATCGACCGATTTTTCGCGCATTTCAAAACGGAAATCGTATCCACTTGAAAATTCGGTTCGATACATACTCTCGATGGTATAAACATTTCGGTTGGAAAAGGTGGAAAAGGCTTCGACACATCGAGACGCGGAATTCAATTTTCCGACATCGCGATGAAGACGTGTTGCCTTTAAACAAAATTCATACATAATTTATGTAATTTACGTAATAATTACTATTTATGTGCTTCTCGTTATCGAAGAAAACAGCATAATAATTAAGTTTCACTTAAACGTCATATAAGATTACCTCTGAGTTAAGCCTCGCTCTTTAACCGATCATCAAGGCAATATATTAATAATTACAAATTAATAATTCCTGCTATAAAAATGTAAATAAAATTAATTCTGAAATGCAAAATTATTATAAAAAAAAAAAAAATATTCTCGATAGACAAGAAAATAGAAGAATATATAAATAACATCGCGTTATATATAAGAAGAAAAAAGAAGATCTTGAAGACCTTTTTTCTTAAAGTCGCCTCGGACGTTATCGAAGAGACGGTGAAGGCCAGCGAATCGTTACAGGAAAAAAAGATCGCCTAAACATATCTACGATATCGGATCATCGAGTATAAATAGCGTATAATAACACGTCGCTCTATCGTTTACCTAACGTAATAATTATATCTGAGTTTATTAAAGGACATTTAACTCGTGACGCTTTGCTTGATTGTTCTGTTCATATCACCGGCGGTTCCTTAGCACCCACCCAAACATCGTCGACAATCCCCGACGGAGGATCTCGCCGGGATCCTCGACGTCGGCGCATCGTCGACGACGTATGTCGACTTCTCGAAGCGAGGACGACATAAATATTTCCTCGCTCGTCGCACAACGATTATTACGAGTCCGTTCGACGAAATCGTCCGAAATATATTCAGCGGATTCTAGGTCCACGCAAGATGGAGAAAAAGATAGACTCGAGGAGAGAAAGAAACTATTATAGTGCGGAATCTCGGTCGAATCGATTAGCCGGAACTTTTGACTATGCATGTGCTTTATGCGGGATTACGTAAGAGTACTTACTATTTTGCGTGCGATCTCTCCGAGAAAATTATATCGATCTGCCGAATAATAGGGCGACGCTGTTGAATCCCATCGGTAATCGATGCAATATTAATTTCGTGTATATGTGTATAAATAATTTGACTATTAATAAATATCTGATAAAGAAGAAACCTCGGATGATTGGAAAAATGTTGCATTTTTCAGATAAATGTGATATAAATGTTCTAAAAAAAAAACGTGACCTACCTTGTACTATTATTAAATCAATCGTCGATACAAGTGCTCCATTTCAAACCATCAATTTTCTCGGGAAATATCGAGCAACTTCGCAGCGGAAACTCGCACCGTTCGCGAATATAACGGATTATCGAGGAGGAGAAAAAAAAATAAACGCTGCGGTGCTCGTCTCTTTTGCGTTATAATTGTCCGGCGTTGCGTTGTGAGTTATATATCGAAAATAGTTGGCCGAACAACCACGTACATACATATATATGTACCGTCGAGTACCGTTGGGAGACGACGTCATACGCGAATTTATTGTCCGGCAACGCACCGATCGCATTCCATCGCCAGGATATAGCCTCGCCATGAGTTGAATCCGGGTTCAATCGGAACACAATATTTGTAAAGCAATATATATACTGGCAATTCTCAGCGATTTCGATTCGACAAGTACAGCGTGGTTACGAACGAATAATCTCCTGCTCGTTGACCCTTAAGTAGTCGATGGCACTCGGAGAAATCCACGTTTCTCTCACAACTCCGCGAATAATTTTTTCCTATATAGGATCACGAGATGTATAGAAAAAAAATAATATGAAAGGAGAAATTTTGTAAAATTACACGACGGTAATATTTGTCGTGATAATTTTTTTTTTAACTCTCTCTCTCTCTCTCTCTCTGACTCTTAAGTTAATAAATATTTATTTACTCGTGATAAATTTTCGCTAGACTACGTTGCAACCAAATTAATATTGTCAGACACACTCGGGAGATTTTTGTCGCGACTGCTTAAGGGTTAAGATACGGCCACATTCGATTGCCCTAACAATAAGATCTTCTCTACACATACAGATTTCTCTATGACACATTTACGAATTACCAGTTAATATTAAATTGTAAAACGTACTACACGTGTCCGCGAGTTACCAATTAGTCGCGTCTACGCCTTTGAGATTTCGCTATACTAGGAAGGAGAGAGAGCTTAAGGAGGGAGAGAAGGAAGGTAGAAATTCCTCCCGATCCTTAACACACCGAAAAATATTTTGCCGAAAATTTGCGAATTTTCGATGCGAAAAGAAAAAAGCGAAAGTGATTTTTGGCTATAACAAAGCTCCTCGTTTCTTTTTTTCTCTCTGTTAATGTCGGTGCAAAATTGAAGCCGGTAACGGCGCGTGTTTTAGGGACACTTCGTTTCGTTTGATTTCGAAATGAGATAGAGTAACGGAACAAATCCGGGAGTCGAGAGTCATTTAAATGGAAATTATCGAGAAAAGCTTTCGAATCGAATGCAAATCGCCATGCAGATTGTATCGATCAATACGTTCATTTAGCCCTTGAGAACGTTTACAAGTTTATTAGGCACGTCATATATCTATATTTATTTGCATTGTGCAACTAATTGAAGTACGTAGTTAATAATAACAGAAATTACGATAATAATAATATAATATTAATCGATATAAACCGAAAATATATATAAACAGAACTTTGGTAAAATTAAATAGTTTCATTCGAAGGCTTCGCTACAAAGTTAAGAATCGCTGAATCATTGATTTCGCAAAACTATAATTGACAACTTAACTTATTGAGCAATTGCAAATTATCAAGTGCATATCGATATCGTTAACATATAAAGTCACACACGCACAATATATGTCGGAGAATCGAGTGTCCCTATGTGTCAGACTCGTTGAAAATCTCGAAAGTGCGAGAGAGATAGATAGAAAGTATGTGTATGTATATTGTGTTGTGTATATGTGTGTACGTAATGGTGAAAGAGTTCGCGCAAGTAATCTCTTTATACATTAAATAAGGAATAAATAACCACCCGCGTACGATAACGAGCGTTGACAAGCGCGTGAATAATGTTATACGTAATAAACTGTACAGAATGTTACAAAGAGTCGTCAAATATTTATAATATTTATATATATATATAGTGTGTCTATTTATATATTTATGTATATATATTTATATTTATATATATAAACGTTGGTTATATATATAACACCCTCGCGTGGAAACGCTTCAACGAAAGAGATTACGAGTGCGAGATCTTGTAACAAGACTTAGATTCTCGCACAAAATTGCTATCGCGTGCAAATCAACCAATGCTTATACAATCTTTATATTAAAAAAAAACGCATATCTCCTATCGCCTACGATCTAATTAACAAAATATACAGACTTCGGCGGGAACCGTGCGAAGTAATGAATTGTGTGACTCGCCAGAGTTGTCAGAACATTATTTCCCACACAACTGTAATCTTCAAATCCCCGCGGAATGGACGAAGAATAAAGGAAAAATTTCGCGAATATAATTTTTTTATAATTGAACCATAATTGAAAAATACATTTCCTCGCGTACAAAAAATAATGACCTTACCTTAGTGAATTCTTTTTTTTTTTTTTTTAGTTTTGATATACAAAAAAAGAGAATTAATGAGATTTTAAATTAAAATGTTGCCATGAAAAATATTCATTTTGTTTTGTTTACTTATTCTCCTTTGCTCGAGATTTGATTCTACATTTTCCTCCCATGGGAGAGCTTCGATTTTTTGTCGTCGTATTCCGAATGAATTTGTGGTGTGTTTAAATTAAATCGGGAAATAGCGCGCTGAAAACTTCGGCTCCGCGTCGTACCCTGAAAAATAGAATCCGCGAAAGCGGTTCTTTCGCGAGAATTGCAACGCTACCTCGTCCAGTTCCCGGATCAGCAAATAAACAGCCAACAATTAAAAACTCTCGCGAGTACATCGAAAGAAGCATTTGAAATAATTCCGCTCTGTCGACAGAACCGCGAAAATTTGCAAAGATATCTCTCGTTCGGCCGGCAAATCTCGTATAATACAAAGACAAATAGGATTTTCAATGCAATTTCGTTATTAAATATTCCTCTTTCAACCATCGAGACAGATATAGATTTAATAATGCGGTTTATATAAAAGGAGTTTCACAGGCATTATCGTATGGTCGCGGTATGGAGGCAGTGATCTCGAAATCGATAATTATGGAATGTAACTCACGCTAGATGACGACAATGAATGGCAGTTTTATCAGGCAGTGTGATCACTGGACGAACTAATTAACTTAAGTATAAATATAGTTATGTCTCTTTTTGTATTCAACTGCATTCGTATAGAACGAGATCGTTATCAATTCTCTCTCTGACATGACGTATTAAGAATTCTACAGATTAATATTTAACACAATAATTATATACAAATGCAAAATATAAAAAAATGCCAAAAATAAATGGCAATGGTCCTTAACAATTCATGATTAAAATTACAACTTGTATAAAAAGCATGTAATATAGATTCTATATGTATATAATGATTTATTTCTTTTTTGCAAAAATTAATATTTAAAAAAAAAATTTCGCATAAAAGAACGATTCGTGTGAAAGAGAGATTCTTCTACAACTTTTTTTGACAAATTTTTTTGAACTTTTGATTATTGATACGGCGAATGCACTCTTTTACATAGAGAGAATGGAAAAAAATTCCCACGCGTTACGTATTATCCATTATTATCCGGCGCGTATATTCTTTTTCGTCGAGGTGCAACTTACACTTTTGAATCCAACGTATGACACAGCCGAGAGAGAGACGCGGCGCTCGTATCCGAGAGATATCCTGTGTTACGATCGTGCTGCCGGAGTACGGGGGATATTACAGATTCTCTGCGATAGCGCGTGCATTTCGAAATACGGTGGCGGTGTAGGCAAATGTCCCGAATATAAATAATAATGAGAGTTTCAGGTGAGAAAATTTCCACGCGGCAATTTATGGGTATTTCGCATCGATCGGTATAGGATCGGTATATATGTATGTATTTTCCGCGTTTTATACTTCGGGTATTTCGAAATACCGTGGCGTGTATCGCAAAAATCCTCCATTGTATAACGCGGCAGTATATACGCCGCGCGAGCGGAAATCGCGAAAGAGAAAAGCCGATCGCGAAACGGGGACGCGCGATAGATCCGATCTCCCGCGCTCGGTTTCACCGTGGGCAAAATTAACGCGCCGCGCATCCACATCCGTTTCCGTCCAGCACAGCGTCATTAACTCTCTCGTTCCTCTCTCGAGCGATTTTCCGACGAGATGAATATTTGATTGACTTGGTTCCAAAGGATCTCGCGTCGTATTCAAAAATATATTACAGAGGGAAATTAAAGATTCGAAGAGACTTGCAAAAAGAAAAATGCAGGAAAGAATCCTTTCTAAATATGCAAAAATACTCTCTCTTCTGGTCTCTTAAAAATATCTACGAATTTTATAGAATTATTTGACATATGGGAAAAATATGACGATGCAGTCTTTTTAGTTTAAGTCAAATCTTGAAATATCACAAATCTCTGTAGAGAAATATCCGATTCGATCAAATTAACTGTTCCGAGCGGAAAGTGAAATATTTTTAATTATTACACACAGATTAGATTTATTTCTTATTTTAAACATTTTCTCCTCGACACATAATCATACCGAAGAAAGAAAGAGTTAACGTTTCTGGCTGGTAAAACCGAGCACCGTGTATGGTGAACGAGATATTTTTGATGACGCCACCATACAAAATTACCATAATTTTACTTCAACACCTATATGTCGAGATAATGTGGATCCGGTAATTTCCACTACATCTTCTATGATATATGTTTGTATATAAGTTTCATTTACACCGAAATGGTGATTGCAATTGTCCTTTCCCACTCGCGGAAATTCAACATTCTCGATTGAAGGTTAACGAAATCTTCGCGTGTGTGTTTGCTTTGAAAGTTACGTAACTTTAATCTTGAAAAATTACGATCACTAACGCGCAAAAATGTAAATTGACGCGATATCGTCAGCAAAGTTTTCAACAATATATAAACTTACACGCTTTCAAAATAAACACATCATGCAAATCTCAATCAGTTTCCATCGCGCGAAGATTCCGCCAGCCGGAGAAATCATTTCACCGCGCCCGAAAAAAAAGGGAAAAAATAAAAAAGAAAACCATCGATCGAGTCTCACGACGAATCCCGAACGATAACACCTATCTAATGTCTAAGTTACACGTCGCTGAGATTGGCAATGTACTTACGCACTCCGCTGCGACTCCGATCGCGATGACAGATCACTGATCATCAGGACGATCCTGGATTCGAGTGAACTCGAACAACCGATCGACCGGCGGCGATGTTCACCTGAACGCGGCGCCAACAACCACGGTGATAGCAGCCAGGATCACCGCCACCGAAACAGTGCGTCCACAGGAACTTCCGGCCGTGGGGCCGGCATCGCTGCTGCGTGACACTTTGCTACGGACCAGCTGACCTCGCTCGACCGCGTTCGACTCGTCGCTATCGGGATCGACAGGCGCGCCGATGTCATCGTCCTCACTTAGCAGCATCGACAGTTTGTTTCGTAGCGGCTTCTTCGCGCAGGGCACGCTCGCTTCCTCGTAAGGCCTGAGGATACGCGGATAATGAACCTCGAGGTTTTCTGTATTGGGCAAGGCTCCCTTGCTGCCGCCGCATAGCGGCTTAAACGTGCCACTGCGAGTGGCTTCCTGGAAACTCTGGAAGTTCGACACCCAGTCGTAAGTAACTAGTCGCTCCTCCAACGTCATGCCGGCCAGCTTCTGAGGCTCCTGGATCATTACCGGGCTAGAACCCCTGCGCAAAAATATACGAATCGTCCCGTCAAGTCGCTGTTGCCTCTTACGTTTCACCCAGCAAAATTTATCTTATCTCGTATTTATTATTTTATATTTTATCACGTGGCTCATCTTTCGGTATTTTTAGATATATAGTCGATAAGAGAATGAATGATCTTATTTTAATTAATTTAAGAAATAATTATTTTAAAAACTGAGTCCTTTTAATATTGAAAATGGAGAGATAAATTTTTAGAAGTTTTAGAATACTAATTATTCATGATGTATCTGATAGAAGATGTTATATAACAATGGACAGCGCATTTGATGCAATCTGATGTAACTATCGCTCGTTAAGTTAATGACAACCGGTGCTTTCGTGACGTACGAGTTGTCCTTAATAACCAATTTAGAGCGATCAAAGAGTCAGTCGCATAATCACCGCTTACATAAAGGCATATAAACTGATAGCAATGTGTGATCTATTTTGATGAATTTATAAAATGTTCCTTTTTCGCACAAACGGTTTATCGATCGAAATTATAACATTTTAAGATAATGAAAATTAATGACTTTAGTTAAAAGTGATATAAATATTTCAAAATCAGATTGAGACTGTCTGTGAAATAAATTCTAAATAAACTTTAATTAATTAGTTCAATTGAAATACTATTAAAAATATATGTAGTTTCAGCAAAGTTGTAAAAATAATATAAATCTTTTTGTCTTCTTAATTCTGATGAAATATAATTATCCCAATCCGCGCGTCTAGACACAATTTTTTATTAATAGTTATAAATCAATGTCAAACTTACTGTATTAATTTCTGGATTCCTAAGCTATGCAGTACTGTCGGTAACGAGGGTAAAGAATAGCAAAGAGATAACTCAATGCGAGGATAATAGAGAGCGGACACCAGACAGGTCTCTTCTCTCGTTGTCAAGCCGCCGAGAGTGATGGCCGCCCGCGATTCCGACGAGTATGTGCATTCGGCGACCAAGTGATCACCCTGTAAAAATAAAACAAGCAAAATCGCTCGACGTGAGCGCAAATCCAAGAGCATCTTGACAGTTTCGAAAATTCGACAATAAACAATTTTACGCATCAAAATATTAATAACGCGGATAAATTGCAATTTTTACATTTGCATGTAAAATTTTAAATATAACATGTGTGTTTTATTATAAATCATAAATTCAATTTTGTTGCTTTTTAATTAAATTTTGTTACAATCACATTTTTATTCTATGTTAACATGTAATCGCGTTTTAAACCCTGCCGTTCGAGTCCGTTCAAACAATTAAATTCAGGTTCATGCCCTGCGTCTGTAGCATGTCGGCACTTTACGTGATCAAAGCTTATACTTATTGCACGTTAATAAACTTTGTAACAAGCTTATAAACTTTCTGATACGTGCTACGGGTTTATAATGCAGCGCAAAAGTACGTTCGCGGCAATGTAAGCGAAAGACGTGCAATGTAGCGGAAAAACAGAAGAACAGAGAAATAAGAATATATTAAAAGACTGCTGTGTGTGAAGAACGTAAGTTACCTCGCGAAGCGCTTAAGGACATAATCTCGGATTATTTTCGAAGGAAAAATCTCGGCGGATGGAGTTTTCAGATTCTTCCTCCGATTCTTCGCGATTCTCTTCTCCGTTAATCGGAGAGAAATTTTATAATTGCACCAGTCCTATATCACCCCGTAGATAAAAAGACGAGATTCAATAAATTGCCAATAAATTGGATCTCGAACACAACGATTAAAATGAACTTCGATATCTTTTTCTTCAAACAACCTACGTGTGTAAAAAAAAAAAAAAAAAAAAGTGCACAATATTAGATATAGAATCCGCCATAAATTGTAGAATAAGTTGTACTCACCGGGTACACCTTGATCGGTCTCTGGAGCCTCCGATACTCCTGATAATTCGGATCGTAGTTGGTATCGGCGGCAATCGGCGGTAGTTCCTCGCCGCTGCGGATTTGCCGCAGGCGAACCTTTCTGCCGAGTTGGTGGGTGTGCATGATCACGGCGAACATGTTGATGCCGCTGTTCGGTATCGTTTGGGCGGTGCAATCGGCGATGCAGTGGCCTTCGGAGATCACCTCGGGCTGGCCCGGGGTATTATGTGCCGCCAGTTCGGGTCGATGCCGACGCTGAGGATGCCAGCGTCGTGACCGCGCAACCGATCTGTATAGAGAAGACGCAGACCGCTGCTGTCGCTGATGAAGGCGTCCCAACTGCGGGTTCATGTAGTGGGTCTCCAGCATGTAGTAGCGAGGCCCCGTGTGCGGATTGAGCGCGTATCCGGCCTCCGGTGGATAATTAAGCCCTGGCGAAAGAAGAGAGACGATGGATTATGCAGAAGCCGGCTGGTAAATAAAAACAGAACCGCGACAGCGCGAGAGAGAGGCACCGTCCGTTTTTCTCCGTATCGCGCTCGCACTCTCTTGCCCCGATCTGATCCGGTCTGACGACGTGTACAGACTCCCTGCCGGACCCTATAATCGGTATACGCCTCGATCCATCAGCGCGGGCCCCCCGATGCAGAAATTGTCGCTCGCGAAATTCGTTTCCTTTTATTGGAGAGACGCTGCGGCGCGGCATACCGCGAATTACGCCTCGGCTTAATTTTAATTTTCCGATATTGATGATGAGCGAGATAACAATTTGACCGCTTCGAGGAATCGTGCGGGATAATCGGTCCGCTTTTAATAAACGCTTCTAATTTATTATTAATGCAACCCGGATAATTTCGATCATCCGCAGCGCAGAGTTGTTTGCCCTATTAATGAGATTTGTTTTGTAACTTTCGAACGTTCAAATTGAGGTGATCCGGTGAAATTTTCTCGTCTCGATATTTTTTATAATTTACGATAATAGTACACCCTCTACCTACCATGGAGATTTCGTTTAATATTTATTTTCCCGACGGTATATTTTCAATATTTATTGTCTGATGCAAAAAAAAATAATATAAAATAATACTGCTGAATTTAAATACCGGCGTAGTGATTTTGGAAAATATAATATTTATAGAAATATAATTTTGTATTTAAAAAAATACAAAATAAAAAAAAGACGCAGCAATCATGCGCGTATTCTTACAAATATTTAACCACGTGTGTTATCTCAGTTAATGTTATAATATTACTTATTGTGTTATACTAGATCACAGAATTATATACTCGTTATATGTATACACGAGATCTCGACGCGTCTCATGATCGGTTGCAACTTCGCACGGTATTCGTATTACCGATAACCGCGAAGAAACAAGTTTGTGGTATTCCTGTTCTCGCATTGGTATGCATTACACCGGACTTGGAATTATCACGAAACTCCGAACGTGTCTTGTACACTTATGCATAATATTTGATAACGTATCAGAGTCGACATATACATTATAAGAATTTATGTGTCGAAGAATAATGAATTTTTTTGCGATAATCAAAAAATCACCAAAAATGACGCCAATCTTGAGAAAAAAAATTCGTTTACCTTATTATTATATCCTTCGGCGATACACATCTTTTAAAGAGACAAGGCTAATCGATAGTCGACTCTGATCAATTATTTTACTATACATAACGACTGATCTCGCGATGCAATAATTAGATCGTTTCATTATCGACACAATCATAGATAATTGAAATTTTAATTATGAAACGTATAACCATCGAAAATGAATTTTTAAACATTTGCACTTTATTACCTTGCGCTTTCCATATTTTCGCGGAATCGCAAATGCAAACGAACGTACGCCCTGTACTCGCGCAAAATTTGCCAACAATGGAAGCACTCGAGGTTCTCTCTCTTTCTCTCTCTCTCTCTCTCTCTCTCTCTCGAGTGCGAGGGTAAATGAAGTTTTCGACGTACCTCAGAACCGAGACTCCAAGTGGCTGCGATCGTGTTGCACTGGAATGCGGGTTATCAGGAGCATAACAGACACTCCCGGTCGTTTCGGCCGCGGATTCCAATTCGGCTTGATCTCCACGGCACTCGTACAGGGTCATGTGGTGCAGGTATTCGTGGCTTCCCGGCTGAATAACTGGTTCATACTGAAATACAGAACAGGCGCACAAGTTCGTAACGAGGATTAATGTCGAGCGGCATGTCGCTTTTGTTTTTGCGACGTCTTCATAATTCGGGAACAAGGCGCATTTTTTCATTTTGCTTATTACACAAGAAATTAATTGATCGAAGAAGTCACAAATGTAAGAACAGAGAAGAGAAAATATTTTATATATAATTTTCTCTCTATTTTATCTAATTTTGGAATGAATTAGTCGCCATTTCAATATTTCAAGCAAGGCGAACATCAATAGATTAATCGGTTACGAACTATCGATATTCTATGGAATATTGATATCGATAGAAAGAGAAAGACGCTTCGCAGTTCAGACTTCATTTCTCGCAGTTTAAGAAAAAGTTGTCGAAGCGCAAAATTGGGAAAAATCGGGGCTACGACATTCGATCTCGCTCGGTAGAACGTGCCGCATTTTAATTGCTTTTCAACAAATTAACGGCTCGCCGATATTATGATCATTCGCGCTAATTGATCTAAGAATGCATTGGCGAATAAAAAATTCCGTAGGAATAAAAGGTGGTCCGCTCGTTTTAAGCGTTTGAATTATGGCGAACGGAGCGCTAATCGGTTCTCCTTCTTCGTCGGATGCTAAGGAAGACCCCGAGATAGGAACACAGACTTTGCAATCGCATCGTGTAGTTGAGTCACGTCCGATCGAGTTCGAGATTCAGGTGTCGGTCGTTCGACCGGCGATAGATAGAGCAAGTATATCAGCCAGTCGTTCCAACATTCTGTTCGGAAACTCCCCGAGTGTGGATGTGAATATGTTAAAGACTGAGATACGATGAAATAAAAAGAAAGGAGAAAATAAAGAAAAAAGTAATAAAATTTTATATTTATAACATATATAATTTTTTTAATCCAGACAAGAAAATGTCTAAGCATCTCTCAAAAAGTCGTCTTAATCAAATTAATATGTTAATGACAATTATAATTATTAACTTGCTCCAGATTTCCTGCAACTGTCAAATTTTATATCGCAGAATTAATTAATAGACAGATAAAGTGCGAATAGATTATAACTGGCATGTGTTCTCTCTGAGAACATAACTCGAGATATATAAAATATGAATTGTTCCAAAATACATCTCTTAACCAAATTAATTGCTGACGTAATTCGTGTCGAACGGTAAAAATGACAAAGACCCAAATAAAATTAAAAATAAAATTAGAGCAAAGCAAAGTGACGTTTATACATATACATAATCCATTGGATCAATTATTTTATGACATTTTCAATTCCTTTTATTATAAACGTCTAATAAAAGTTGATAATATATCATAACGGCGTTTTATTCAGCTTAATTTTCGTTGAAAAAGCAGCGTGAAAAACATTAGCATAAATATAAAATACATTCGAGTCTGTCGACGAATAAATACGGAATAAAATATTCCGTATTTAAATTCGCGAATTCAGCGAATGCGTTTTTTACCGCTTTTGCACCTCTTATTATATCGCCGCGACTCGACTTTGATTTTTAACACTCAATTTGGCGAATCGCGCAGAGAATCTGCGTCGAAATGGAACGTATTACCACTGACGTGAACCGATACGCAATAGTAATACGAGGTTTACGACCGACTGCTTTATCACTGTCGCATTTATCGATGACATCTTGTGCATCGATCTGTCATCGCGCTGATGGCAAAACCGGCAGCCGGAACAGCGAAACGATCTCACTTACCACATTGATCCTACCATCCTACAGATCCGCCCAGTCGTACATTTACGACGAAATTTCATAGTCGAATTAATCGATCGTGCTCGATAATATCGCACTCGCGAATCGAAGATTTTTTCTACATCAGAACCGGTAATGAAGCGTATGATTCTTTTATATTTTTTTTCTTGCAATAAAAAAACACGTGTATACGAATGTTTTAAGAATTGTTCTAGTTAATTACAACACTACACTTTTATGATATTAGAAAATATATAACAAGTATCTAAGAAAATCATATTAACGTTTTTAAAATGTCATTTGCGATCAAAGTATCGTTTAAGAATTCTCGGGAAAGAGAAACGCGAAATTGTAAATTGAAATAAGTCTTCCTCCTAGATACGTCGGAACGTTTAAAAAAAAAAAAGGAAACCACCGTTCCAACTATGATTAATCATCTGATGTAAAATATCGTATAACCTCCAGATTATCATTTTGCGCGGCATATTTATCGGACGGCTACTTGACGAGGCATCTCGAGACGCGAAAACACGCGAGGCAGAAGAATATCTCCCGTATGAGAGGGAAGGAGAGAGAGGGATGAGATGGGAGGGGCGAGTCGGCAAACTCGACGTGCAGTTTCTTCGGCATTACAAGAGCATCCACCTTCGCTTTAATCAAGTCGGAGAGCGGCGGGCGCGCGCGAGCTACCGTAAACGGGTTATATACCTGGAGGAGAGAACTCACCTTCACGACGTGGTGTTTGTGATTAATGCTCGGCATCCTCAGGACACGGCACCAGAGCAGCATGTCTTGCCCCATGGGTAAACGAACCTGCACAGCAATTCGAATGGTACTTCGTTAAGAGAGTATAATTCCACGCGAAACTAACGGCTAGAGCTACTGCATTGAAACAATCGATACTTCATGTATCGACACTGATATCAGGAAGATCAATACGACATTCCGTGTATTTGAAAAAAAAATATATGAGCGAAAATACATGTATTTTTAAATATGTGAAAAAGCTGCAAAAAACTGATAATATTAATACGAGCGAAATTATGAAAGCATGAAAATATTTATTATATACATATATGTTTTACGTTTTGCATATCGATATTATTTTTTATTATAAAAAGTTGAACTATTCATTATATAAATTTGAAATTAAAAATGGCTTTCTTGACAAAGTACAAAATATAATGCATAAAATGGAAAAAAAAATATAAACTGAAATATAATTCTGTGCTACAATATTTTTAATCGCGATATCTTACATTACTATCGATATCATACATTAAATATTAGACGACTCGTTCAATATTTTTATCTCACGAATCGCCGCGATATCGTATCGCCAGAATTTTCTTTTGAGACCGTGCATTATACACCGTGTCTTGAAAATAATTGCTTACTTTATAAGTACAAAAAAGTTTCTTTTACTGAAACGAGTGGCGCAAGAAGTAGAGAGGAAAATTCGAGAAACTTGGCTACTTAACGCATACACACCAGGTTTAATGGTTTGTTACAACAAGCTAAGAACAGTTAAACACAAATATATACGAGAAATTCATTACCATATTTTCCGACGCCGCGTGCGACTTACGTAACAAGGTTGCAAGTTGCTTTTATGATATACGAGCCCATTTCGCTCTGTCTCAAAGCAGCACTTTCCACGCCACGCGACTATTTTGCGTCAGTTCTCATGCACGGCCGGCTGCATTGTGTGCACGAACGCGTTGCTAGTTTTTCGGCACGTATAACAGAATAAGAACTGTGTGTGCATCTACCGGCGTTAGTTGCGTTACTTGTTCGCTCGATACACAAGACGTATTATACGTGCGAATTTATTTTGCTCAAAGTCCTTTACTATATTCCAAACACCTCTTATGCAGCTGCTGTATCATACAATGCATCTCAAACGTTTCGCCGTACAAACTCCAAAAATATTCAACGCGTCATATTAAATATCTCACAAAGCTTTTCATTCATTAATAAACGTAATCACGTTATACAAAAATTTTTTTTCAAGAGTTTGAAACTCGTGCAACTTTGCTTAATTATGCTTCTTGTTCTGCGACAGAATTACATGCATTAGTCGCGTTAGTACTTGTCCCACGTGTATATCTCCCATCTACAAGTCAGATTCATAGTCTGCCGAATTATTCACGGACTTTTGTGCATCAATGGAACCAGCTTCGTGTGCTGCTGCAATGTACGTATCTCGGCAAATATACGAAGAAGGGAAAGCGAAAGAGAGGGGACGACGGATGATGGGTCGTTTCAAACTGCTCGCCGCGGGGTGCAAAGGGCGACCCGTATATAGTGTTCGAGAAAATTACGATTCTCTTTTTCGCGCATCCCTCCTACGATCGACTCCTGCTGCCCTAAGCGCTCGAGCCATGCCGTCGGATTCTCCCACGCCCTTACGCGAAATTATCGATGTCAAGATTACCGGGAAGAGGACGAGCGCGTTTATTGTTTTGCGGTCGAGCCTGGTTGATTGACGGCCCCGGCGACAAAGGAATTTTTTTTGTATTACACGTGCAGGCAATATGGCACTTTCGGTGCATGTTTTCTGTGCGGAAAGCGGCCGATTTCCCACGCCGCCATTTAGCGGCGACGCGGTGAGTGAATAAGCCGCATTCAAAGTCATTGCCCACGGCTTCAGCCGAACACGGCTATTCCCGCACCGTGCCGCCGCATGATCGGCCACCTCGCGCACAGAAAACGCGCACAAAGCCACTTTGCCTGCACTTGTAATACAAAATAGTATGTGTATCACGTGCGGATTGACAATTGTTCACTCATGACCAATTGTCAACTTTCCGCACTTGATACACAATATACTATTTCAGGTTTGCCACGAACGCATTTCCGACTTCTCTCTCGAGACAATTTCTTCCGATTAATTGAAACTGTGCAAAGTATGTAACGCACGCGTAAAAAGATTGCGAGATCATTTTCAATATTAAATTAATCGTGACGATTAAGTGAGTTTTTTTTATTTCTAAGCTCGACTGAATTTAAAGACATATTTTTAAACGAAACGCATAGAAGAAGCGTGGTGGAATTTATTGTGATGTATACGGCGAGAATGTAAAAACTAACGAAACTGGCAGCAATTTCTAACAAATGGCAGAGTATCGCAAAATCTAAAGAGAACGGCGCAACGTAAACCCCGTTACTCTCACCCCAGCCTCGTCTTCTTCTTTGTGACTATTCTATTCATATTCATCGCGGCGCGATACAAAAGTTATTCGAACGCTCGGCAACTTTCGTGCACCAAGTTAAGAAAGAACTTCCTCTTTCGTGTGGTGCAGGTCGAAATACGGAAATATATAAAACGATGGACAACGATACTTTAGAAAAACCGTACCGATATTTTTTCACGATATTTCGATATCCTTGTATATATTTAAAATGCTAAATAATTCTCCCACCTCTTTACGCGCTCCGTGTATTTAAATAAAGTAAAACAAACGTATGCTGTTATTTTGAGGAAAGATGGAGAGAGAAAAAATCGCGAAAAGTACGACTACTAGAAAGAACAGACTTGCTATCTCGATTATTCTGCTACACGCGATCGTAACAAATTTCTCGTAATGCGAACCGTCGCAAGAACCCGCGAAAAATGGTAAAATTTGGCAAACTGAAAATATATATATATATATATATAATCCAAGTTTGGAACAAATACATTCCAGAGAGCTCCTCGAAAGCGCACGCTTGTCTCAAACGATTTTACATGGCTGACATTTCCGGGTCGTTTATCAGCACGTTCGGTGCGAGTGTGATCTTGCACTTTTTCGCGGGCCAACGAGCGGAATACGAGAGAGCGTGGCCCGATTCCGGTCTCGATATAAACTATAAACAGGGCCGGGGCGGCAGACGGTGGAATTAGCATTGTCCGATTCCCAGCGATAGCGGCCGACCTCGTAATCTACGACCCGGCGACGCTAATGAACGAATAGTTTTTGCCGGATGTGACCCGGTAAGATTTATGTCGCCATAATTCGGCGCACAATGCCGTCTCCTCTCCTCTCTCCTCTCTCTCTCTCTCTCTCTCTCTCTCTCTCTCTCTCTCTCTCTCTCTCTTCTCTCTCTTCTCTCTCTCTCTCATCTCTCCTCTCTCTCTCTCTCTCTTAGATCTCTCTCTCTCTCCTCTCTCCTCTCTTCTCTCCTCTCCTCTCTCTCTCTCCTCTCTCTCTCTCTCTCTCTCTCTCTCTCACTCTCTCTCTCTCTCTCTCTCTCGTTCTCTCTCTCCCTCTCCCCATCCTCTCACGTCGATAAAATCCAACACGCCGAACACGCTAAATGTGTTTGAACATTCATCTCGCGCACGCGACCTACACGCGTGTCTACGCGAATGACGAAAACAGAACCGTGCGATGAGAATTTTGGAAAAAATTCCGGATAAACGAATAATATCGCCGCGTCCCTGGCGGCGTAAAAAAAAAATAACGTCGATAGCGCAAATCAACCCTTTGAAAATTCTCGACATATTCTCGACTTTAACTTTCGAAACGAGGTAACTTTCAATTAACCGGCTAATTAAAAAAAAATGCTATATAATTTTATATCGATTAACTTTAATTTTTTTTTTTAGTTGAAGATGTTGCGTTTTCTTTCTTTTTGCAATTTTTGCGCAAGTCTTTAGTATAAAATTACATATTCCCGAGTTAAAATAATGCCGGGTTATAATAACTAGCGTTAATGATTAGCGTTGATGATTCCTCGGCAAAGGCTGAATAAAGTAACTTTGGTTATCTTAAATACTTTGATGAAACCCTTAGCTTGAAACTCCCCTTAACCCCTTCCCCTTTCCCGGTGCAAATCGAGTCCAATATCACAACGCCAATGGCAGATCCACTTTCGTGAACTCTAATTAAAACTCTTTAATCGTCTTTGTTCGCGCTCGCGAATTTCTCCGCGGTCGGGATGAATATTAACTTTGTTCTTGTTTCTTGTCACGTGCCGTCGTAATAACGCGAATCGTAATAAATGCAATGTGCACCAACTGCTCTCTGTCTCTTTTTCTTTTTTCCTTTTTCATTTCTCTTTTTTTTTAATTATGTCAAGAACGAAACGAAATATTTCCTTCTACAGCTAGTTCGTTACGTATTTATCTCGACGGAACCTCTTTATTGCATTTATCGCATGGAATGTTAATTTTATCTCACGATACATCTTTTATCTCCAATATGCGCTCGTCTTACATGCTTTTTATAAATATGCGAAAAATGAAAAGCCAAAGAAGATTAAACGTTCGCGACCCACCTGTTTGTTCAAAATGTCCCAGATCTTCAAGGGTGGCTCCGCGTCCTGATTACGCGAGCTTCGTCTGGGCTGCGTGTCCCTCTGCACTAGATACAATGGCCTCGAGCCTCGTACCGCGCCATGATCGGGCAAGACCCCGGCCGCTGATACCGGCTCCTCGACGTGATATTGCCAAACCACTTGCATCGTGTCGTTCTGAAACACAAAGGATGGCCCAAAGTCAAGAACGGGTTTTCTTGTTGTTCTGCGCTTTTTGCTGTCGAAAAATATTGATAGAGAAAAACAGGGATACAAAGAGGAGCTTGCGCCTTTATACATCCCCATAAAAATCGTTGCCTAGCTCTGGAAAAAGAGACGCAGACGAAGCGAATAAACGGGCTCCTCTGCCGAAGATTGCGCGCTCGGCTGCGTCTTTTAATCAAACCTTTAAAATTTACGATCGAAAATTGCACGCTCAGATACATTTTTTTTTTAAATTATTTCGGAAAAATATAAATACGTTTATCGAGACTTCTCTCGCTCATCGATAAAATTGGTTTTATTAAAAAATATTATTTTATTGATGATATCCTGGATTATGTGAAACATAGACAAGTGTCTAGATGTTTGTTAATTGCAAACATTTATTAAAGATCGTATTGTATGAAACAAAAAAAATATCAATAAAATTGTTATAAAAAAATATATTTTTTAAAAATAATTATTATAAATGCAGGATAATTTAGGCTCTCTTATATTCGCACGCAGGGGATCCCAGTGTGACGCGTCAATGATCTGCGGCCTTGCTGCGGGCTACGATTCACCCCCGAAAAGAAAAGCGACCGCCGAGGGTGGCCGCGCGATATACCGAATACACAAGCGACAATGTCCCTCTCTTCTCTTGGTGTGTCCGCTTGTCGCGGTTGGCCGCGAAGCGTATACACGTGTCCAACCGCGCGAAACTTGGGGTCGCTTTTGCACGCGAACGAGCCACTTACACATCTCGGAACAATTGCATCTGATTTTCAAACTAGCTCGCGCACATGGGTTTCGTTTTAACTGATTCATTCTATAAAAATGTCCCTCATCGAGCCTACGGAACGGCGTGAATAGAAATAAATAAAGTGATGTAAATACAACCGGATTTACGAGCTCGTAATCTGAGTTGTTTTGTATTTATGTTAATATAAATGAATCCAGTATTAATGTGCGCAAGTAATGAAGGATTCTCCACTCTGCTTTTAGTCTCTCATAGATCGATTTCGCTTTATTAACAGAATGAAATATGAGGCAAAGTATATGGAAAGTGGAAAATAATTAAATTTGAAATATATATATATAGAAAAAGAGGAAGTGAAAATAAATGAATGAAATAATTAAATAAAAAGGTGAAATTTAACACATATACAAATTGTTTGATTCTAGCATTGAAGATCGAAGGATGCATATTTTTTAAGTATATAAGTACAAAATAAAAAAAATTATTAATTGCCAAAATAAACATATACATATCCACTTTGCATATTAAAATACATATTAAGATATTTACGACGAGCGATTTGCTTAAATCGCACATTACAACATATTACTTCGAGAATATTAATACCGTGAGAGATAATTCGCATTCATCATGTTCTCTCGATCGTTATCGATTCCTGTCTTTACCGCCGCTAAAACATATCGGGGATCCAGATTAAGAGCGCGCTTCGCCACTCCGGACACGTCTCGGCGTGAAGAAAAAAAATCGTCGGCGGAATCACAGAAGTCTCGCGCAATCGGCATGCGAATTTGCAAGCCGCTCACGTGTTACCCGTTCGCGTTCTTCGATAATCGCCGAGGGTTCCTCTCCTCGAGAGAGAAGGGAGAAAACCTCCACGTTGTTCGTTAATTTCACCATCCGTGCAATCATCGGTGCACCTACGATTATTTCAGAGTCTTGACTTTTGAGACGCTTTTGGGCACCCGTTTGAACTTAGGCTCTCGTTTGAATCAAGGAAATAAATGCGACGTAGCGACCTAGATTCCGTAGAAAAGGAAGATTCGAAAGATTCTTTCGGGGCCAAAATGTAAAATCGATTAGAGGAAATGGGCATCGCTTTGGAAGGAACGAGGCGAGAATCGCGCGATTCATTTTCGATCGATTCTAGAGAGAGATTCTGTCGTTTGACTGCATTATACATTTTCGTTGTCCTCTCTTCGATCAAAATGCAGATGCAGATTCTCTTCTCAAGCGTCTTTTACGTAGGTATATGTCGAAACTAATCAACTTTAATGTTAAAGATAACAATTTAACAAAACTGTTAAAATGAATATATTCACATAAATTTTATTTGGAATGTCGAACAATTTAGAAAATTAAATGAAAAAAGCTACTATAAAATTCTGGTTATAACATTCGCTTAGTACTTTTAAACAAGTAATTAAATTAAATTTTTATTAAACCATTAAAAACTCTTATCGCTATATTTTATTCCTGAGCCTGCCAGGATGATAATAAATGCATCTCTTCTACTCTCTCTTTCTGTGTCTATGTTTTCTTCGCATACAAAGTTTGTAATTAATTCAGCAAGTTCTGATATTTCATATTTCATCTTGACGATTCTGACATAATTTCATAATTATCTTCCACAATATTAAATATCATAATTTTTAACTGTGCAAATACAGTATAATTTAATTTTTCTGATTTTTTCGAAATCTCTTTATTAGCGAGCTTTAATTAAATTTCTAATTTCAAGCCCAACAACTTTTTAATTTATTTTGTAATTATTTGTGAATCATTGCCATTAATCTAGCTGCATTACGTTTTATCGATAAACGATTCGATAAGAATTTTATCTCTTGTAACAAATATCCCTCCTTCTATCGATTCCGATACATTCCTATGCAAGGGTTTCGGGAAAAAATATTAGTTCGTGAATATTCTTGATCGTCGAGTTCAAAGGATGCGCGGTGCTATTGCAAAAGATACGAGTCTACCATTCTCAATTCGAGAGTAAGCCATGCGTTCGATCTCAGAAATCCCGATTTAAAAGATCCGCCTAACTTGCTGCATCCTTAAGTAGGTCGACAAGAGAAGAACGAGTTTGAAGAAAAAAGTTTTCCCGGAAATGGGAAACGATGTCGACGCTTGTAGAGATCATTAAGCTAATATATGTATAATCCTTGGAAAATATAAGGGTGCGTTAATTAGCACGAGAATGTTTATTATAGATATTCCATTAGAGGCAAGAAGTTACGACTTAATAAAGAGAATGTTGCGTGTTCATATGTGTACGTTGTAATAAAATCATAACAAGTTATGTAAAACGAGAAGAAATGATTTATAAGAACTTAAAGAAGTTTCAGATAATGCTATAACAGAATTACAAAGTCTTCAGTCGTTATCAATTAGCATTCTCATTAATTTATGTGAATAATACTCGGAAAGTTTCCTACTATTTTTTACGATAAAAAAATTTAAATTTTACCTCGGAGGAGAATTGTGATCGTTTGCTAAAGATTTTAACTCAGATATATATATATTTCCATAAAAAGTATTCTCGGCAAGATATATGGATGAGATAGAAAACGACGAATCTTGTTTGAAAAAGATAGGCTAGGTAACTTTGCAGGACAAGATGTAAGCAAGAAGACAAACGGAACGGATTTGAGATTCGAAGACATCCCTTGCTAAACTCAAGCAGCGTTTCTTTCGCGGAGCAACTTTGTTGTTCGTTGTTCTCACGAGCCGTAAATCTCTTCCGCTTGTTCGTTTTGCACACCGATGTCCCTTTTCCTTCCCACCCGCGAGTATCTACGTTTAGGAGCAGTCGTAGCTCGCAATTATCCGTTCCAATAGTCGTTGGGTCGAATAGGAGAAGGGAAAGGAGAGGCAGAGGATCCCATTTCGCAAGTTAAGGATGTCAGTCGCGATGTGAGCAAATGGCGCGCAAGTTCCCTTAGAAACCCTGGCATAAAAGATCTGGGCCACGTGCTCCGTAGAATCCCAAAGTTGAGTGCGAAAGGAAAGAGAAGGGATGGAAGAAGCGGGAAGAGGGTTGATCGAAGGGTGAGCGTTGGTTCTATAATGGTGCTTAATAGAGTTCGCTCTCTATTACGCGAAGCGAGCAAGATTATTGTTGTTGCTTTCATCTTTAGACTTTCATCTTTAAACTTCACGAAATAAATTCCGATCTTGACGTTACGTCGTTTAAAATCATTTCTCGAATGAGTAAAATAATTTGCGACAAAGAGAAGAGCGGTGTTATACGCTTTATAAATAAAATACAATCTCAAAGTATTTAACAATTGTTCGAAAGCCTTTCCTCCGGCAGCTAAATACGACGTTCTTCTTCCATTTTAGCGATAGACTTGTCGGAATTAAAGGTTAATGTTCTCCATCTGAAAATCCAAAGGTCAATGTGATATTGACGTTACTAAAAGGGCTGCAATAAAGGGATAACGAATGGGAATCATTCAGTACCCTGGTCGAGCACGTGAACTCTGGTCTATCCTTCGAAATTGAAAAGCCACTTCTCTCTTTTTCCCTCTTCGAACTTTCCCACCACCACACTCTGTTCTTCCGCTTCTTCGGTATTACACCAAAAATCGTATCTCACGGCTAACGTCGCGCGGCAGTCGTTGAATTTAAGGGGCGTATCCCAATTTCTGGGTTAAGAGATATCACTTGCTATGTGAGCAAATGACGCGCTCTTCCTTCCTGGGAAAATCCCGTTTTGGAAGCTCGATAGCACCCGCTTTCAAATCTTTACTACGAGCGGTAAGTCGAAGGAAAAAGGGCTTCGCGAAAGCACGACTTGTGTGAAAGATGGTCTTTTTGTAATGAACATATTCGAGAAATAGATTTCGAGATTGAATGTCCCAAATTTAAAAATAATGACATATATTTTTTTCACATTTATATATCAAAAAATTAATGATGTTTAAATGTAAAGATCGTTCGAATAAGAATTATTTTTCTAGTATCCGAATTTGTTAATTAATTTTTTTTAAATAATTTGTGTACCTACTGTTTTATCGAAACAGATTTCGGCTAATTGCAAACGTAAACAATCGCCGTCTCCTCTTTCATAAAAACAATTCTCGGAAGTCAATACCGACGACAATCGTTCCACTCTGACGCGAAGAGTAACATCACTTTCTTCGGGATAATTTTCGAGTGTGTCGAAAGTATCTTCCTTTCTATATAAAAAAAAAGAAAGAAATAAAGAGGG